ATATCAACCATCTTTTCTGACCATGAAGGCATCAAACTAGAAATAAACCATAAAAAGAAGGCAAGGAACTTTCCTACCTCATGGAGATTAAAAACCACACTACTGGAAGACCATTGGACTAATGAGGAGATCAAAGAAGAAATTAAAAAATTTTTTGAATTGAACGACAAGGAGGACACTAATATCCTAAATGTATGGGATGCAGCAAAAGCAGTAATAAGAGGAAAATATATAGCAATAGAAGCTCACATCAAGAAACAAGAAAGAACGCAAAGAAACAACCTCATCTCGAAGCTCAAAGATCTAGAAAAAGAACAACAAAAAAACCCCAAAACCAGTAGAAGAAAAGAAATAATAAAACCAAAGCAGAAATAAATGAAATTGAAACTAAAAAAACAATCCAAAAGATCAATGAAACCAAGAGCTGGTTTTTTGAAAAAATCAATAAAATAGACAAACCCCTAGCCAGGCTCACAAAGGAAAAAAGGGAGAAAGCACAAATAAACAGGATCATCAATGAAAGAGGAGAAATCACAACGGACACAGCAGAAATCAAAGAATAATCAGTAACTACTATGAACAGTTATATGGAAACAAGTTTAACAATCTAGAGGAGATGGACAAATTCCTACAACTCTACAATCACCCAAAGCTAGATAAAGAAGAAATAGAACACCTAACAGACCAATTACAATTAGCGAAATTGAAATGGTAATAAAAAAACCTCCCCAAAACAAAAGCCCAGGACCTGATGGATTTACAAATGAATTCTACCAAACATTCAGAGACGAATTAGTGCCTATCCTTCACAAACTCTTCCAAAAATTGAGAAGGAAGGGACAATACCAAACACGTTTTATGAAGCCAACATTACACTAATACCAAAACCGAACAAGGACAACACAAAAAAGGAAAACTACAGGCCAATCTCCCTAATGAACACTGATGCAAAAATCCTCAATAAAATTTTAGCTATCAGAATCCAACAATGTATCCATAAGATAATTCACCACGACCAAGTTGGATTCATTCCAGGGGCACAAGGATGGTTTAACATCCGAAAATCAATCAACGTTATCCAACACATCAACAAAAAGAAATATAAAAACCATATGATAATATCAATAGATGCTGAGAAAGCTTTCGACAAAGTGCAACACCCATTCATGATAAAAGCCCTTGAAATTCTGGGGATACAAGGAACATACCTCAACATCATAAAGGCCATCTATGACAAGCCAACAGCCAGTATCATTCTCAATGGTGAAAAGCTGAAAGCAATTCCATTAAGATCTGGAACAAGACAAGGATGTCCACTCTCACCATTGCTTTTCAATATAATACTGGAAGTCCTAGCCAGGGCAATAAGACAAGAGAAAGACATCCAAGGAATCCAAATAGGAAAAGAAGAAGTCAAACTATCACTATTTGCAGACGATATGATATTATACATAGAGAACCCAAAAACTCCACAGAAAAGCTAATTCAACTCATCAATCAGTTCAGTAAAGTGGCAGGATACAAAATCAACACGCAAAAGTCAGTAGCCTTCCTATACACAAACAATAAATCTGAAGAAGAAGAAATCAAAAGACCATCCCTTTTGTTATTGAAACAAAAAAAATCAAATATTTGGGAATAAATCTAACCAAAGAGGTAAAGGACCTATACAAAGAAAACTATAAAACACTGTTAAAGAAATAGAAGAAGACACAAAGAAATGGAGAGACATCCCCTGCTCATGGATTGGAAGAATAAACATTATTAAAATGGCCATCCACCAAAAGCAATATACAGATTCAATGCTATTCCAATCAAAATTTCAATGTCATTCTTCAAAGAAATAGAACAATTATTGATGAAATTCATATGGAATCACCAAAAAACCCCGAATAGCCAAAGCTCTCCTGAAAAAAAAAGAAGGGATGGAGGCATCAGACTCCCAGACTTCAAACTATACTACAAAGCCATATCATCAAAACTGCATGGTATTGGAACAAGAACAGACATACAGACCAATGGAATCGAATAGAAAATCCAGAAATAAACCCACAGATTTATGGTCAACTAATCTTTGACAAAGGAGCAAAGAAATGCATTGGAGCAAAGAAAGTTTGTTCAATAAATGGTGCTGGGAAAACTGGGTCGCTACATGCAAAAGAATGAAGCTTGACCACCACCTCACACCATACACAAAAATCAACTCAAAATGGATTAAAGAACTAGACATAAGACCTGAAACCATAAAAATATAGAAGAAATATAGGCGAAACACTACGTGATTTGCACATCAAAGACATCTTTACAGACACATCACCCAAAGCAGTGATAGTGAAGGCAAAGATAAACAGCTGGGACTACATCAAATTAAAGAGCTTTTGCACAGCAAAAGAGACAATAACAAAAACAAAGAGAAACCCCACCAACTGGGAGAACATTTTTGCACCCAACACTAATGATAAAGGACTGATCACAAAAATCTGCAAAGAGCTGATGAGACTCAACAACAACAAAAGAAATAATCCAGTCAAAAAATGGGCAGAAGAGCTTAAAAGAAACTTCTCTGAAGAGGAAATGCAAATGGCCAACAGGCATATGAAAAAATGTTCAACATCACTTGTCATCAGGGAAATGCAAATCAAAACTACCATGAGATACCATCTTACACCAGTGAGAATGGCACATATTAAAAAAACTAGCAACAACAAATGTTGGCGAGGGTGTGGAGAAAAAGGAACTCTTCTGCACTGTTGGTGGGAGTGCAAACTGGTCCAACCACTGTGGAAAGCTGTATGGAGATTTCTGGACCTACTAAACATAGAGCTTCCATATGATCCAGCAATTCCACTCCTAGGATTTACCCAAAGGACACAGAAACATCAATTCCAAAGAACACCTGCACCCTATGTTTATAGCAGCACTGTTTACAATAGCTAAGCTTTGAAACAACCCAAATGCCAAAAATAGATGACTGGATCAAGAAGATGTGGTACATATATACCATGGAATATTACTCAGCATTCAAAAAAGATAAACACATGCAATTTGCAAGCAACATGGATGGCGCTGGAAGGGATCATGCTCAGCGAAATAAGCCAAAAGAAAAGAAAAAATACCGGATGGTCTCACTCATAGCAGGAATCTAGAAAACTTAAATAAGGGACCAGGAAAAATGAATAACTATAAGAAAGTGAAAATCAAAATCAACAAAAAACTATGAACCAGAGACACTTTTAGGGGGGCTGGGGGGAGGGGAGGGATTGGGGTCAGAATGGGGGGCTGCAATTGTATGGGGAAATATAACAATAAAATTTTATTAAAAAAAAAATAAAAAGATATCATACACATTAACAATAACCCTTTATAGGTTAGCAAGAAGAAATCTTTATGGAAGAATTCTACCTTTATTGAAAGATATAATAGAAGACTTCGAG